GGTATTTTCTGTATAACATCATTATGACAATTACTGCATCAGTTGGGCGCCATAGGCCATAAGGTTTTTCTCTATTTTTTTCTCTATTTACAAAATCGAAGGCTTTAAAGAAATCTACTAAAAGTAAGGTTGTCTGCAGATTCTTTGCCTTGATGCCCTCAATAATCCGCCGAACGGTCAAGATTTGTTCAACGTTTCATTCATTTTTTCGAGAGCCATTTTGATTTTTTCGGAGCATATTCTCTACTTCCGGCTTAGAAGCATTGTGTTGTAAATTTGTGCTGCCATAAGAGTGAGTGTGATTCTTCTGTAGACTTTTTTTATCTATCTATCTATCTATCTATCTATCTATATATTATGAAGAAGTAATCATACGAAGAATTAATCAGTAAAGTTAATGCAATTACTGGCGAAATCACTTCGCTAATAGATTTAATAAAGCATTAACTTACTAACCTCACCCATCGTTAAATGACGCGATCCTTATGTTTAAAATTGTAAGATGGATTAGGTGTTCTGATGGGGGTACTTTAGAAAACGTACCTGACATTTTAGATACTTTGAGTAAATCCTTGAAATCCTCTTGACATTAAATGGAAACTTTACAGGTACAGAACTTGAAGCGGTTAAAAAAAAACAAAAACAAAAAGAACACACAAAATAGGAAAACCCGGGACTTGATGACATTCCTGCATAGATTTGAAAGACCCAGTGTTTGTCAACGATATTCTACTTCAACTCTGTAACTCCACATATTATAATGGAGAAGTCATAGAAAGATGAACAGAAGGCTTCAAACTTCGTTTCCCAAAGAAAGAAGATCTAGGATCGGCAAAAAAATCTACAGAAAAATCACACTCACTCTTATGGCAGCACAAATTTACAACTCAATGCTTCTAAGCCGGAAGTAGAGAATATGCTCCGAAAAAAAATCAAAATGGCTCTCGAAAAAAATGAATGAAACGTTGAACAAATCTTGACCGTTCGGCGGATTATTGAGGGCATCAAGGCAAAGAATCTGCAGACAACCTTACTTTTAGTAGATTTCTTTAAAGCCTTCGATTTTGTAAATAGAGAAAAAAATAGAGAAAAACCTTATGGCCTATGGCGCCCAACTGATGCAGTAATTGTCATAATGATGTTATACAGAAAATACCAAAACTTTGGTTAGATATCTAGACAGAGTCACTAGCTATCAAAGCAGGCGTCCGTCAGAGTGACACCCTTGCACCTTTTCTCTTTGTTACCACCCAAGACTACGTATTGCGATCTTTCCTCGGAAAACATCATCATCTACTTTTTACTTTATCACCAAACTCTCAATTAGATATGCTCCAAAAAAGTTGACAGATATTAACTATACAGACGAACTAGCTCTCTCTGTAGACACGATTATCAAGGCCACATTCCTTCAACATCATCTAGAAAATGCTGCCCACGATGTTGGACTCTATGTCAATGTCTCTAAAACTGAATTCATAGGCTTCAACCAGCAAGAATCAATACAAACTGTATCAGGTGAATCAATAAAATATATCGAATCTTTTACGTACCTAGGAAGCGAAATAAATTTTACCGAGAAGGATGTGAAAATTCGCATAGCTTAAGCTTGGACAGCCTTGAATAAAATGGATGTAATCTGGAAATCTGATCTACCAGACAACCTCAAACGGAGATTCTTTCAAGCCACTGTACAGGTGGTTTTAATATATGGTGTCACTGCCTAGACATTAACTAAAACTCTACAGAGTCTAAACTTGATGGAACCTACACTCGGATGCCAAGAGGTATACTTAACATCTCCTGGGGACAACAAGCAACTAAATCACAGCTCTATGGATCCATTCATTGATATTTCTACAATCTTACGTGAACGCCGAATGCAATTTACAGGAGACTGCTGGCGGGCAAAACAAGAACTCGCGAAGGATCTATTGTTCTGGACACCAAGTCATGGAGCAAGACGAGTAGGCCACCCAGAAACCACCTACATTGACCAGCTATGTTATGACACAGAATTCCGCTCTAATGACCTTCTGACCTTGATGCAGGACCGAAGGGTTGGCGTGATAGAATTATGAATGTTCGAGATAGCTCGACCGAATAACTGTCTCAGGTGAATCAATAAAATCTACCGAATCTTTTACATACCTAGGCAGCGAAAAAGGATGTGAACATTTCCATAGCTAAAGCCTGCCCCGCCTTAAATAAAATGGATGTAATCTGGAAATCTAATCTAACAGACAACCACAAGCGGAGATTTTTCGAGCCACTGTAGAGGCGGTTTTAATATATGGTGATACTGCCTGGACATTAAAACCTTACAGTCTGGTAAAGCGGCTGGGCTGCCAATCGCATAAAATTAACGGACAGGTGTTTTGACAGAGTGGATTTGATATATGAAATATTAATACTACACGGTTTTTCTTGATGTAGTTACGTTGTACATGAATTAAAAAATCTCACAATGGAGACAGCTCATACATGTTAGTGACATGGCTTACGGCCACATCACGTTGCAACACCAGTACCCGTAATATTATCGAAGTTAAGCCAACCTCAGTCTGGTCAGTACCTAGATGGGTGACTGCTTGGGAATACTAGGTAATGTAAGATTGGACGTGCGGGTGGTGTAATGGATAATGACTCGGAATTGTTGATCGAAAAACCGAGTTCCAATTACTGGTGGGTTCGTTATATTCACTTACGCGCAAATACGCTTGGGAAAGGTGTGAATCCACCTTTTCTCACTCTACCTATGGGTTAATTAGTAAGACTTTTATCACTAAACCATTATTACTAAAAAAAAAAAAAAAACTCACAATTTCTGGTTTTTTTTAACCTGCAAAAGGTTGATAAGCCGTAAAAAAACGAATCAATCAGGATAGTAGCAAAGAAGTCCGTACGAAAATATATTAATTACATGTACGCTCTCCTAATTATTAAGTTTTGGATCACAAAAGTCTATGCATATTTGTGCTTGCACACACGCATGCACACCCGCACACCCACACACTCACACATATATATATATATAGGAATAAGTAGGAAAAATGTACATACACGCACCAATACTTGTACGTACTTAAATCTTATAAATACAGTACTTAATGTTATGAAATAGAGCTATTAGTAGATATTAGTGAATATACAAATAGTGTTATCGACGTTGGATATTATTATATTCAATATATAATATATATATATATATATATATATATATATATATATATATATATATATATATATATATAAGTAGTCACGGTGGAGTAATGGCTTGGATTGAGAAATCGGAGAGCCGAGTTCGAATTACATTCACTTACATGCTAACACCCTTGGGAAAGGTGTGAATCCTCTTCTTCTCCCCTCCAGCTATGGATAAATAGCAGGACAGACTGGGTTCTATAGCCTTGGATGGCAACTGGTCTAGGAGAAGGAAAACTCTGAATTCAAAACCTGCAGAGGGTCGTTTGGGGATCTTGTGGCACTTAGTGCACCAGGTCTCTGTATTCGGCCCTTCGAAAAGTGTGGATGGTCCTGCATGAAACCTTCACCACTATAATCAATTCTCATGTGCCGGTGTCGGGCTGTCAGTTTCCTGGGAACTGATCTGCTTGACCCTCATACGTCGGATTCGACGGAAGAGTCGAGCCAGCGATTTATATATATATATATATATATATATATATATATATATATATATATATATATTCAAAAATTCTAACATAAACATCTTATAACATCACTACAAAAATAGCCATTTTGTTTCAACACTTCTGGTGTCTTCTCAAGTGATAAGACAAAATGGCTAATTTTGTAGTGTTGTTATAACATGATTATGCTATAATTTTTGAATAAATAATATTTGCTCTCGTCTGTATTAAGCATTCTTTTAAGAATAGTATTTTTGATTATTGGAATTTATTCCGTCAACACCAATCATATATATATATATATATATATATACAAATCAGAGAAAGAAAAGATGGAGTAAAAATCCACTGTTCATAGCATGTCCTTTTAAAAAGTGCTCAATACAAAGTAGATCAAATATATTATTATTATAATTATGTTATAAGAGCTTATAATAAAAGCATAAAGTCAAAGGGGGAGACGTTAGGTTATATATATATATATATATATATATATATGATTATATATGCATGCACAAACACACATACACATATGTTTTGAGTGTCATATATTAGTGTGTGTATGTGTGTGTGTCTTAAATGTGTGTGTATGTAATATAAATATATATATATATATATACTTATGCAATTTTTTATCTATATTATTTATATATTATATATGCGCAGTACTTATTGGAAAGCGCTCAATATCAGAGATAGAGCTAACTTATTTAGTTGGATTGATGTGAGTTTGTGAACCTGGGTTTCACGATTTTGCGATCGTCAGACAAACTGCGTGAAACTAAGCATGAAGCCTATGGTAAAAAAAATCACATCAATCCAACTATATATATATATATATATATATATATATATATATATATATATATATATGAACTCGCGCACACACAAGTCTGCGTAGTCAAATGCCGAAATGTACATTTATTTAGATTTATTTTCGACATTAATGACACCGGTCTTTACGGAGATGACAGTGTACTTCTACTCCGTAAAACAAGTCCATGAAATACAGATCGATTGAGAAAGGAACTGAGACATATTTAAAAGACTATAAGTTAATTATTACCACAACCACTAATGCTAAAGTAATCAACTTTCTTGATGTGTCCTTAGCCTTTAATACTGGTTATTACAAATTATATACCAATGCTCTATCTAACCATAAATACATCAGTAAAGATTCCAACCAGCATTATAAAATTTTAAATAATTTACATGAATTAGTTCAAGTTAGATTATCTACTAACTCGTACAATAATGAAAATATTTGATAATAATAAAATATATAAAAGAATTAGAACTAAACAGCCATATAGTAAATTTAGTCTATTTAGAAAAAAAAAACCCAAACAAAACAAAATGGAGACATTGTAATATTATATGGTTTAATCCCCCTTTTTTTATTGTAATGTCCAAACGAATATTGGAAGAATTTTCCTAAATTTAATTCATATGCACTTTAATCACTCACCAATACTAAGGAAGATTTTTAACAAAAATAACGTAAAGATCATTTGTAGCTGCGTTATTTACATCGATAAATCAATGTCTCAACCTAGCAACATTATATTAAATAAACATATTTCCATCAAAGAAAAAGTTAAAAAGATAAATCCAACTGCCGAAAAAATATGATCTGTCCCTTAAACAGCCAATGTATCATTAATTATATTGTATACCGAGCTAGCATACATTCTGGTAACGGTGTCAAATATTATTTTGGTCCCATTGAGAATCATGGGAAAATTACTGTTCTATCATCATCGAATGACTTTAGGCAATGAAAGATTCATGAAAGTACTGCTCTCTCCAAACATTTCTGGAAATTAAGAATGATAGTAATACACCCATTATTACGTGAGATATTGTAGCAAAAGACAAATTTTAATGGGGAAGGCGATAGATGTAATTTATGTCTTTTAGAAAAATTAGTTATCTTAAAACACTTAAATAACCCGAGCTTATTAAACAAGAGAAATAAATTGATGGGTACATGTGGGCATAAAAATTCATATCTGTTGAAATAATTGATCAAGATTTAATGAACGCGACTCTGTTTCGGACTGCCTCTGACTCGACTGACTGACTCGCTCGCTCTGACTGACTGACAGACTCCTGACGAGTGCATTATGTAGCACAAGGCCGATTTAACGTGGGATCTCCGAGCCCATGGGCTCGGCTAAAAATATGCCCTTTGAACCCGTATAAACGGGTTCAGGGTCGGTTTACCTCCCCGAAAGAGACTCCGCCCTTCGGCGTAGCTTCGTTCGGGTTTCTCTCCGCCCGAAGGCAGAGAGTTCAACCGATCAACCGGTCAGCTGGTTGCCCGACTTCAGACTGAACTCCCTGCTTCCTCTTGTGACGCAGTATTTATTACGTATGGAATAGTCCATTATGTTATTATGGGTAAGGTCCCATAACAATATATATATTTGTATGTGTGTGTGTGGAAATTATAATACTCTCCGGAGCCATTGTTGATTCTCCCAAACTTTCGATTTCGCCAGGATTCATTGCTCAGCAGAAGGAAACGGTAGCAAATGACCGCACCACAATTCGCCATTGATGTAGTGGGCGTTCTTGTCATTGACCTTATAATGGACATGCCACCTGTTCCTTCCCCGACAATGATGATCCCGTACAGAATCGAAGACTGTAAAACATCAACTACGGCTCCGGAAGACATTATAATTTCCAATATCACGCCTTGATCGTACATTTACAGGGATATAGACGTGAATGGATTATTTTATCCAACATTATTTCTCATTATTTTTAGTGGATACACATATTTCAGTGGCTGTTTTTGTCTTATTTCATTTTGTTAAACATTGAAATTAAGATCTGACGTAAACATCTCTCAGCAGGACTTCTTAATCTAGGCCGATTGATATTAGTATTACGATTTAAGAAAATAATATAAAACAAGGATATCAACTCAAATATGTGTACCCACTAAAATAGCGTTTATAATATATATATATATATATATATATATATATATATATATATATATATATATATATAGGGAGAGATTTGAACAATTTTGCTGTAACATCTTTATCATACACACACACATACATATATATATATATATATATATATACAGTTTTAAAAACTAGGAATTTATTGATTTTAATTTTATTAGTCTTTAAGGCCCTTTCAACCAACATCTCATCAGGAGACAATCGTTGGATCATTAATTAACGAAAAGAATAGTAACGAAAATTAAGAGCAAAAAAAAGGGGGGGGAAACACGCTAAAAATAACAAACAAGTGTCTATACTTGTAACGAGGGGAGGGGAAATAACTTGTAAAAATAAATTAAATAAATTAGCGAGGGACAGTTAAAAAAAAATATCCCCCAACAGATTAAGGGACTTCACAAATTCTTTCTGCCGGCAGAGAGAATGTTTCCTTAATCCTATACAGATTGATTCCAAAATCTTCAAATGATTGTTGGAACCGGCCGCATGACTGATTTTAAACCACTCTTTTGTATACGACTTGGCACAGGCTATATTCTTAACTAAGTGTTGAGCAATAGCCGATTCCATATTTATGGGGGGAAGATAACACATTTTATCTATCTTACCACGTCGTATTTTGGAAGGTACATGCTGATTGATTCTAGTTTCCAAATGCAAGGTTGTACGCCCCACATAACCAGCAGCACACTGGCAATTAAATTCATATACTAAATTACTCAATTTGATGTCGGGCAATTCATCCTTGCGAAACGACGGAAACGCAGACCTAGTTCGAAAAATACAACGTAAAGAAACAGATGGAAAACAACCAGAAACCGACTTGCTAACCTGCTTAATTAGGCCTTGACCCCTATCCTCAATCCAGGGAATCTTCAAATACACCGGACATTTACAAGGCCCCTGGATTTTAGGGGAATGAAATTCCTTAGTCTTCTTACTAATGATATAGTCAATAAGGGCCCCCGGATA